AAGAGAAGAAAAGAAAATCTATCTCCAAAGAGAGATCATGCTTTGCAAACACATTGTAAGGAATCAGTGTCTATACTTGACCACAATGATGTAACGTTGCTGAAATAGGTATCCTGATATCATAGCATCACTAGCAAAAGTGGATGTGAATTTTCAGTAGAGATGGCAACCTTTTTAGTGGAGATGATGAGAGAAAGAAAAGGAAATCTCATCTATAATCTTGCAGTCCTACAAGGACACAGAATTATTAGCTGGCAAATGCAGATGGCATAGCTGTGATGTCAAAGTCCATAGCTCTATCTCAGTGGTGGCGAACCTATGGCACGGGTGCCAGAGGCGGCACTCAGAGCCCTCTCTGTGGGCACGCGCACCATCGCCCCAGTTCTAGGCCTTCAGCTGGGTTTTATAAAACCTTTTTGCTTTAGGCCTCTGCCGCCGTGTACAAAAAAAAAAGTTCAATCAATAGTCAATTTCAACTTCTCGTGGGAAAAAGAAAAGATCTTGCAAAGTTGGAATTGATTGATTGAACTTTTTAGTCCCATCCAGTCTGCTGTTATCACTGCAGCCACGCCCACCCAATGGGCCACACCCACCCAATGGGCCACACCCACCCGGCACCTGATGATGCATAAGTGGTTTTTGGGTTGCAGTTTGGGCACTCGGTCTCTAAAAGGTTCGCCATCACTGCTCTATCTGATATGCAGTGAATGCAGCATTCAGCAACATTTTGCTGTTTTTGGTAATATTGGTTCACTTATTGGATCCATAAAACCCCAAAGTACTCACAGCTGCTACTATTATCATCATAACGATTGCTGCTGGCTACCTATCTCTCCAGCTAGTGGTCTTGCCTGGTCATCTCATCTTTCAGGTGAAGATAAAGAAAGCAATCTTGCCTGCACTGCCTGGTGCCTTGTGGATTGAGAATAGTGGTTAATGAGGCCTATCATAAGCATAGTGGAAATGACCCCCTTTTCAAGGTGAAGATACATCCCAGGAACATGCTCCAATATGCCATATACTGCATGAATGGTAACTGCAAAGCAAAAGTCCATCATACCCCAGTTCAAGACTGGATGCCTATTTCTGTTTGGCCTTTGTCCTAAGAACAGCATGAACTCTCAAAATGGGCAATCCTTTGCCAGCATGTTTTCTCAGAGCTGGGCAGGCAAATGCTTCAAGCTCCTATAATTTTTAGTTGCAGAATTCACCCAATGTACATTGTAACAGAGGACGGTAACAAATTGCAACCCATAGGTAGTGCACTTTAACAATATCCTATGCACTAGTATAACAGATAGAACCCCTGCACTAAGAAATTAAAGTATTATTTTTTATAATTATTTGACGGGGAAGGGAATGTGATGTGTTCTTCCAAAAATATATCCCATATCTATAATTAAGGGCATACGTGAGAAAGAATACCCAGGCATGTTATAGAAGAGCTTATGCTGGATCTCCATTCATTGAAAAGATGAAAGGGTCTGATCCCTCTCTCTAGTTCCTGAAAATCCTAATAGCATTAGTGCTCAATGCTGTGACCCCAGTTCTCTGGTAACTGTGTTACAGAGCCATACATGGATGGCCAAAGGCACTTCCTCCATGTAAGCCTTACCTGGTGGTTACCACCAAACTGGACTTACCTTTGGCCACCCAAGTTCTTCACATAGTGATGAAAAAGAAAAGCACTGAAGGACCATTTGCATGTCATGATGCTCCTCTAAGCATTGAAGAAGAAGAGCAACAAATTGCCTTTAAGCCTTTTAAACTTACTCTGCACTAGTTCATAAAGTTGTATGTCAGCTTTTTCTCTGTGGTGGATTTTTGCTAGTACATGTTGTTAGAAGAATAATTTGGGGGTTCCACAAGCTGGGATGGTGCAAAACCAAATAAAAAATGAAATCCATACTGTGAAAAAAAAGATTAATTTTATTCTCAAGAACAAAGAGATTTGTTTGAGGGAAAATGGGGTCCAGAGACTTGGTTTTAGTGGGGGACTGGTCCTTGGTGTGAGCTTGGGGATGTGGTGTGGGTATATGCTGGTTTTAACATATGTTCTTCCTGTGCAGATGTGCAGTTTGGGATGCTCCTGATTTGGACTTTGATCCTGAGGTGTATATGAAATCTGGAAAGGAAGTGTCTATGGAGATTCTCAGTCATCCAGGTCATGGTTGTCTCAAAGATGCTTTTTCAAAAGGCAATTGGACTTTCTTTGTTTTTCCTTGAAGACATTTCACTTCTCATCCAAGAAGTTTCTTCAGTTCTGATTGAAGACATCAGAACTGCAGAACTTCGGACTTCTGGTGAGCAGGCGACCTCGTCGGACGCAGCTGTAGCTGCCTCCCGCCTGTTTTCGCGTAAAAGCCATTTTGACAGCGAGCATTAGCTATCAAACGGCTTGAGACCTTTCCCCCGGGCATAAGGGGATCGGCGAGCTGCCCGGGGTAGGAGTTGAGTTCCCGAGTCGTCCGATTTGGACGATGTAGGTTAGAACTCCTCCGGAGCCCCGAGGACCCTCCGCGATCCAGGTCGCCTTCGCTTCGGCGAAGCTAGAAGCCGCCGCCACCGCTGCAACTTAAATTTAACTGTGAGTGACTATACGCAGACAAACCGACCCTGGAAGTTTGTTTTTTACTTTGGACTCTACTCTAACTTGAGCTATTTTGATCTTCCCTATACTTGGGTTGGATTGTGCGAAAGTGAACTTAAAATGGCGATGAATGATACTTTCTAGCGAGAAGAAGTGAAAGTGATTTTGATTTCCGGTTTGGAACTTTTGTTACTTTTAACACTTTCACTATCTGCCTTGGATTAATTGTTTAAAAGACTCTCATACAGATTGAAATTTTAATATTGCTAATATGGCTTTGAGAAGATTGGTGCCAACAACTGCAAAACCGATTTCATCTCCGACTTCTCAGCCGCTTCAACCAATTCCTAAGCCGGTTTCCCACCCTCCACCCCCGCCATCTTCTTCACCCCCGCCGCCCTCTGGCAAAGAATTACAGGACTTTATGTTTCAAATGACAGAGATGTTTCAAAAAATGGATGCTAAAATTGAAAATAAGATTGACCAATTAATACACCAACAACAAGAATTAGTACAGAAACATGAGGGCTTTCGGGTGAATGTGACAACTGCTTTTCAAGGTCTGGCTGAATATGTGGACGGAGTGGCAGAAAGGGTGGAGGAAAATGAACAGAAGGCTGAAGCGAGTGAACAAAGATTGGATTCGATGGAGGAGAGTTTGGAAAATGTTAAGGGTGATGTTCTGATTGCACAAT